CCTGCCCAGCAGGTGAGGAAGGATGAAGGCCTGTTAAGTGGGGAGGGCAACAGAGAGGGAGGAGAGAAAGGGACTGTAGCTGTATATGGGCTCCTGGCCTGGGCCCAGAGAGGAACCAGCTGTGAACTTGTTTCTAATCCTACTGCATCACACTTGTCTGTGGGAACCTAACTGACTGTGTTTGTCATTTCTGTCCCAGACTGAAAATGATGAGAAGGGGGCTCCTGATGGGGGCCCAGGACTGAGCAACAGCCAGGAGCTGGACAGCGGGGTGGGTCGGACTGATGACAGTACCCGCAATGAAGAGAGTTCTGAACATGACCTGCTGGGGGATGAGCCTCCCAGTACCACCAACACCCCTGGAAGCCTGCGCAAGTTTGGCCTGCAAGGGGATGCCATGCAGAGCAGGGATTTCCACTTTAGCATGGACTCTCTGCTGGCTGAGGGGGCAGGACTGGGAGGGGCTGACCTGCCTGGGCTCACGGATGAAGAGTATGAACGCTACCGGGAACTGCTGGAGATCAAGTGCCACCTGGAGAATGGCAACCAGCTAAGCATCTTCTCCCGGGCTTCCAGTGGGAACAGTGCCCTGGACGTTAACCGCAATGAGAGCCTAGGCCATGAGATGGCCATGCTGGAGGAGGAGCTTCGGCACCTAGAGTTCAAGTGCCGCAACATCTTGCGGGCACAGAAGATGCAGCAGTTGGGGGAGCACAGCATGAAGGCCTGGCTGCTGGAGGAGGAGAGCCTCTATGACCTGGCAGCCAGTGAGCCCAAAAAGCACGAGCTGTCTGATATCTCTGAACTGCCAGAGAAATCAGACAAAGATAGCACCAGCGCCTACAACACTGGGGAGAGCTGCCGTAGCACCCCACTGCTCGTGGAGCCTCTGCCCGAGAGCTCCCTGAAGCGATCTACTGCTGGTAATTCCAACTTGAACCGGACCCCTTCTGGTCCTCCTGTCACCACCCACCCTAAGGGGGCTCCTTCAGCCAAGTTCCGATCACTCTCTCGGGATCCTGAGGTGGGCCGGAGACAACACACAGAGGAGCGTGTCCGCCGCAGTGCCAAGACAGGTGTTACGCTGGAGCGTGTAGGCCCTGAAGGCAGCCCTTACCTCTCCAGGCGTCATCATGGCCAGGAGAGTGAGCACTACCGCAGCTGTGTGCAGTTGGCCCCACCACGCACACTGGAGGATCTGGGCCATGGCTCCTTGAGTTTGGCTAGTGGTCCTCGGGTGGGTGGAGTGGTGGCTGCAGCTGTCGAAACACCCCGCATGGAATGGAAGGTGAAGGTGCGAAGTGATGGAACACGCTATGTGGCCAAGCGGCCTGTGCGAGATCGGTTGCTGAAGGCTAGGGCCCTGAAGATCCGTGAGGAACGTAGTGGCATGACCACTGATGATGATGCAGTAAGTGAGATGAAGATGGGCCGCTATTGGAGCAAGGAAGAGAGAAAGCAGCACCTGATCCGAGCACGGGAGCAACGGAAGCGGCGTGAATTCATGATGCAGAGCCGCCTTGAGTGTCTAAGGGAGCAGCAGAATGGTGACAGCAAGCCTGAGCTCAACATCATTGCACTGAGCCACCGTAAGACCATGAAGAAGCGAAACAAGAAGATCCTGGACAACTGGATCACCATCCAAGAGATGCTGGCCCATGGTGCCCGCTCAGCTGATGGAAAAAGGATCTACAACCCTCTGCTCTCTGTCACCACTGTCTGAGCTTCCCCAGCAGGAGCCCAGCCCAGGCCTAGAGCGCCTGGCCTTCACCCTCCCTTAGAATCTAGTGTGTGTCTGTGTGTGCTTGCACGCTGTGCTCATGCACACTCATGTATCTGTATGTGTGCACAGGACTTTGGTAATAGAAAGCCCCTAAAATGAACACTTCTCTCACCACCTATTTACTTCTCCCCAAGAGGCTATACCAACAGCCAGCATAGAGGGCATAACCATAAGGGGCACCTGTGTGTGCATGCATGTTTGTGTGTGCATACAGTACTCTTGGTTTGTTCTTGGGAGATAAGGAAGTCAGTACAGAGAGACGTGAGGTGGACTATCCTAAGCACAAGAGAATGACCAGCTTCTTACTGAGCATGGCCTCCCCACCCCTGGAAGCCTCAGTTATTTGTAGACAAAGGCAACCCTGAATTTTGTGGGGTTTTTTCCCTTTTCTGTGCTTGCCAATAGTTTTCTGTTTTGTGAACCTGCTCTGGGGGTTGGCAGATCCTTCAGGCAGCCTAACAAAGGTGGATCCCACCGAATGCTAGCTGGGAAGGAGGTTGGGGGAAGGAAAGGAGGGAGGGTTGAGTGGGAGGGAAAGGAAGGGGATGGGGAAGAATAGGAAGCAGCTGTCCTGGTGGTCTCTACTCTGAGGGTGGCAGGGAGCATCCTAGTTGGCTTTCAAGGCACACCCATGGGGCCCACCTCCTTCCCCAGTGACTGAAAGAGAATGAAAATCACAGGGAATCATGGCACAGTATACATCCAAAAAGAATTTGCTAACCCCTGGCCTGTGCCATCTAAAGCAGACACTCTTTAGTGGCCTGAGTCAAGGAGCTTAAATATCCAGGGGTTTAAGAAGCTAACCCAATGGGCACAATGGAAGATCTCACCTAGCCTAGAGAAGATCTGGTAGGAGTTGGTAGGCCTGGACCCAGTGAAAGGAAAGTGGGCTGAATGAGAGATGCCTAGAACCTCTTCCAGTGATGTAACTTTCCAATGTGCCACTTGTTGGGTGCCTCGCAGTCTTGGTGAAGTTTGTATTGGAGGCTATAGGATACCCCTGTTCCCCATCTACACCCCAAGAATAAAGCAAGCTGCTTTTTTGCTCTGTTGATTGGACTCCCTGTGTTCATTGTCATCATGCTGCTTGTACTGGGAGATGTCAGTTCATTAGCTTCTAAATGCCCATATTTCCAAGCAAATTGGTGGTGGGCAAGATGCCAAGATGGATGTGAGTCGGAAATCTGGGGCCCATTCCCAGAAGCTGAGTCCTGTTGCTGGGAAGGCTGGGTCATAAGGATACTGCCTCATGTCCCTGCCACTCAATAGCTCTGGGTAGGAATGCACATTGTAGCCTTGCTGTTGAATAGGGAGGGGAAAAGAGATTTATAGGGAGTGGTGGTAATAGGAGAGCAGAGGGCTAGGTACTGGCTCCAGATACTTGTAGGGACATCTCCAGTTCCTTACGCCTTCCCAGCGAAGGAGACCAAGGCCAAGTATTCCTTGGGCATCCCTCCAGCTACTGAGAGCTCTGGAGTCATCCCATTGTTCTATCGTGGCAGGGTCTCAGGACCAGGATATGTGCCGATACTTTTCTGAAGTTTATGCTGCCTTGACTGGCTCAGGGAGAGGTGGCATCAAGGAGGGCTAGCAGCATTGAGTTACTGATACCCTGGAGTATCAACTTCACATTTAGCTATCATTGCTGTCTGGCCAGGTGGTGCAGCCAGAACCAGAAAAAGCAACTGGTTGGCCAATAGCTGTTGCCACTGGCCAACTACACAGAATCATGTCAGAACACAGTCATTTGTACCACAGCAGCCAAGGAAGAGCTACTGCTCCCACCTCTGGCCTTTCCTGAATTTGCTGCTCTGTTGTTATCCAATTCTCAGACTCTCAGCACCACTCTATAGTGCATCACACTCCTTTAATCCCAGCACTCGGGAGGCAGAGGCAGGCGGATCTCTGTGAGTTCGAGGCCAGCCTGGTCTCCAGCGCGACTGCCAGGATAGGCTCCAAAGCTACACGGAGAAACCCTGTCTTGAAAAACAAAACCAAAAAAAAAAAAATTGGACATGGCAGACCTCTTGCTTGGATGAACCTGGGTCATATAAACTGCACTTCGATCCTTCCACTGTTTGCCAAGTTAAACAAGGAGCCTCTAACACTTTCATAAGCCTAGGTACTAGGGTGTGGCCAGCTGTTCTAATGACCTATCCTGGACAGCAGATAGAACTAGAAATGTGGCTTTAAGCATGCAGTGGGATGGGTTTACTTGGGGCTTGGCATCCAGCATCTTCCCCCAACTAATCTTCCATAGTACTAAGGAACACTATTCAAGTGGCTGGTGTCCAGCTTATGCTAAAACCTGAGCAAAGAGTACAAGCAGGGCTTCCTGACAGGCCCTTACATGCTCATAGCAGAGACATCACTAGGGAAGGAGCATACTTCTGGAGGTCTGGGAGGCTGACCTTCAAAGATCCAGCACTAAACTGGATGTTGTGAACAGCAGCAGGACAGGAAGCAACATGGAGTGGTTTAGGGTGTGGAGTCCAGGAGTGTTCCCTGATGCCTAAGGCAACTGGTAATATGACAACTTCAACCACATCAGCAAGACAGGGCCTCATTGATAAGCAAGCAAACCACAAAAGCACTTGCACGTAGCTTATGACCATCCCCACCACAAAGATGAGGCTGGTTGTGATGGCTCTGACTGACGAACTTGGAGAGGAGGGACTAGCAAAGGCCCCTGCCTTCTCTGTATGGAAAGATGCCATCCCCAACTACAGGGGTAGTAAGGTAAAGGAGGCCTCAGGCCAAAACCAGTCCTAAAGAGTCACAGGGTCCTCCTGCTTACTGTAAGTTAGCCATGGGAAGACTTCCTAACAAGGAGCCAGGTGGAGACCCAGCTCTACTCTGGAGAACTGGTGAGGACAAGGAAGGTTTGACAGGGTTTCTCTGTATGGCTCTGGCCATCCTGGAACTCATTCTATAGACCAGGCTGGCCTTGAACTCACACAGATCCATCTGTCTCTGCCTCCTGAGTGCTAGGATTAAAGGCATGTGCCAGCACTGCCCTGCTAAAAAGATGTTTCCAAAGAGGCCAAAGACTAGAAAAAGAGAAGGTCAAAGTCCAAGCCATTTGGCAATCAGGGCAATGACAGAAACCAGAGGACACTGGGGAAAGTACAGCTCTCCACTCAAGTATCTCTGCTGTCCAGGTGGATAAGGGCAGTTGGATCCCAAGTTCTCCCTATGGACATAGGAGTCCCATGTCTTAAATGTACTCATGGCAAATAGCAACTGTTTATTGAAAGAAGCAATAGAGGGTTGAGGATGCTGTCCTCAAGCCTGGATGTGGCTCTTTGCATTGAAGGCTAGGTAGTAGATCACTATGCCGATTACTGCAGCCAGCACTTCCGTGGAGACCCAAGGCCCATTCCAGGTGCCCTACAAGAAAAAGACCAAAAGACAGCTCAGAAGGATAGACTAGCCAATCTTAATCACTTGTCCTCAGGACAGACATCAGTGATAGCCCAAAACTTGGGCTGCAGACGATGACAGCTTTCCCTTAGACTCAACCCAAAAACATTGAGGCATGTCCTGTGTTCTCTGCTTCTAAGACAAGGCCACTTACCCGATGATCCACACTGACTGTAAACAGGGGTGGAATGACGGAAATGTCCTCATTATTTCTCTGAGCCTGTAAGGGAGGTGCTGGGGTCAAAAGGTGCTGGATGGCATGCCCAGATAAGGGAGAAATGAGATGAGCAAGAGACAAATGAGGAAGCAGGGGCAAGAAGAAGGCACCCACTCCTGCTCCATCTAAACTAGGCCCCTAGGGTACTGATGGTACAGAAGTAGAATACAGAGTGATCAGGGTGAGAGGGCTACAGAAACGGGGCATGCCCTTCTTCCTTGGGGCCTCAGAGTTCCCAGATGATACTTGCCTTCCTTAGGAGGCTATAGGACTCTTCATCGAAGAATCTGACCTCATAGGTGCCTGCATGAGCGCTCTTGTGCTCCAGGCTCCATGAAACCTGGTTGGGTATTTGGCAAAGGGTGAGCTTAGCAGACACATGAGGGACTACTGTGCTAGTGCTGACACAAGCACTACTATGAGCAGTGCCTGAGTGATCTATAACCCTGCTTTGAGCCATTTCCCCAACAACCCTGGATTCAGTATCCCTTACCTGATATCGGCCCACATCCTGGCCCCGGGTTACAGGAAACTGTTTTCCACTAACGTCTGCATAAAGAGCCATGTTCTGGATGGGGGGTGAGGACAACAAATCAAGAGTCACATTTTCCTCCTTTCTCTGGGCATACACAGAACCCCCATTGTACTGCCAAAAACAGTACCATGACTAGGCCATTTGAGGGCTATTTTTAGTAGGGGTTGCTATGGAAGACCCAAGGAAAAGGCCTGCCACAAGCCAAAGCCATGGCAGACCATACCCATGGATACTGTCACCATCTTCCTTCATCTATTTCTGTAGATGTGACTAGAGCTAGATCTCCCCTATTACCTGCTTAACCTAACCCTCAGCAACTCTACTAGCTGTACAGGGTAGGATGATAAAAGTGGCCTTGTTGTTTCTTGGATCTTGCTTGAGAGGTGCCAAATGAGGTGTTTAACCCTAGGAGTATTATCCCTCAAAAGGTCCAATTTCTTTTAGATTTTTGGAAAAGCAGGTCAAGGGTTGAGTTTGGGATTCTCAATTTTAACTTACAGAACATTCATACAGACACACTCAGGCAAACTGCAACCAGAAAGAAGATGGAGGGGCATGGGGCCTGACCCTAGTTCTTTCTCCCATTCCAGACATTCATCCAAGAAATAGTGGGGTGTCTACCCACATTACTGCATGGAGGCAAAGCATACCAAGCAGGTCAGGAAAATGCTCTTGAAGTACTTGCTAGGATCTGGCCTCGCTGTGCCCTCATCTCTCCTGCACCCTGTGAATTGGAATCCTTATTCTCCCTGTTGATAGGATCCTCGGGTCACTGTCAACTGCCAGTGAAGAGCACTGCCACCCTCATCTTCCCCCCCCCACCCTCTGTGCTGAGTCCCTACTGTCTCACCTGGACCCTGTTCTTGCAAGTCAGTGAGATCTCCACGATGAATACGGTCTCTGTAGAAATGACGGCATCTGAGGTTGTATAGTAAGAAGGGGTGATCTGGGGCTCCAGGCAGGCCTCTGCTGTGGGGAGGAGGCAAAGCCAGTTTGTGTGTTCCAGGGAAAAATCAAAAGGGCTTACCCAGGATCTGCCTCTCAGATTTGGTGAGCTCAGGACACACAAGTCCTTCTGGTCCTGACAGGTGGAGTCTGGGAGATGGATCCCAGTACTCAGCCTGAAGTATAATGGAAGAGGCCAGTAAGGGATGTTAAGACAGGCCAAGGTGGGGTAGGGAAGGCTCTGTAGAGGTGAACCTTGAAGCAAAAACATGGGAGGAGCAGAAGCAGTGTGTCTGAAGACTGCAGAGGCCTGAAGCACTGCAGAAGCCCAGTGGACCAAGACAGCTAATTCAGAGCCATGTACTTAATAGCTTAATGAAAGCATTTTGCAGATAGTAAGTGGGGTGCTGGCAACACACAAAGCTTTCAAAATAAGGGTCTTTAGACCCAGCCAGCTGCCAAGGTCAAGAATGGTCGTAGTGTTTCATGAGAAAAGTAAACTCTGGACCCAAACAACCAAACTGCCCCTGTAAAGTAAGCACCTCTGAGGAAACATGGTTACACAGTATTAAGTAAACACTAAATGGCATATTCCTCATCCAACTGTTTTCTAAATGTGATGTCTTAGAACCCTTTTGTGCCCTGCTAGGCTGGGACTTTTTCCTGTGGAGCCTCTAATAGGTTTTACAGCCAGGTTTTTTTTTTTTTAAGACATTGCTAGCAACAGACTGGGTGATTCCCTGAGGTAAGAGTAGGAGGGATAAAGGAAGGCTACCTTGTAGGTATGGAAGCCAAGTCCTGCTCAATCTAGGCTCTCAGGTCTGCGGCACTCCTGTAACAACTTCCAAAACACACGTCTGGTTTCCAGATGGAGCTCAACCCCATCACCAGGTGTTACGAACGGCTCACAAATATCAATGGATCTGTGCACAGCTCAATTCTGCTATAAACCTTGGGATGGATATACCAGGGCCTCATGGAAAGTCAAGGCTCTGGGCAGTGAAAGCCTTTGGTGGCTTCTTTGGCCCTCTATCTAAGTTGCCTCGTGCACTTACTCTGCTTCTCTGCCTGGAAAGCCTTTGCTTCCTCTTAGGGAAACCTGGCCTATGCAGCATTGGTTACTCTCTGCCAGCACTATTTCTCACACAGGGAACTGCCAGGTGCTGATAAGGACGCCTCTTGTGCGACTACCTTCTGATACAGGAACCAAGTAAGTATCACTTTCCCGGCTAGATCTGGTGACCGGAGCTTGGTGCGGCTTTGGGGCTCTCCCAAAAGCAGACAAGGAAGGATTTGACTGTTTCTTCCAGCAGCGTGGCTGCCGGGTAAACATATGTGTGGTGCTTCGGTCGCCACAACACGACACCCAGCGGGGTTAGATCCCAGTAGGGACGAGCCCCG